TATCCACCTAGCTGCCCCGTGTTCTACTGAGGAATATCATTTGTGAAAGCTTACCTACTCTCTAATAATACTATTATTCAGGATGTCCTCGATATGGATGTAGATTATTCACATGAAAATTTTTATATAGATAGGAAAGGAGGTATATAGGTTAGTAGTAGCTGATAGTCTCTTGGTTGCCCTTTTTGTATTAATAATGTCTTTGATTTTGTTCTATTATTTTTGTCTCTGTTGCATGCTCTATGGATCAGTTCCTCAATGGTGACAATTTTGTCACTTCTAATGTAGACGTCCCACAGGGACACTTTGTATCTGAGTTGCTTTTCTTGTCTTTGCTTTCTTCAGTCATTTCTATTTCCTCTATGAGTGCATCTGGATGTGTGGTGTTGAGTTCAAGTGTGGTAGCTCCACTGTAACTGATGGTGAAAAAATCTGTTGTAAAACTGCAGATTTTTTCCGCTTTCCTTCTTGTTACCCTTTCATTTTGATTTTTAAATATCCTTGGAATGACTTTACTTGGCTGTGTCTGTTGGCAAGCTGTCTTTAGTTTTACTCTGCATTGCTTCTCTATTTATGAGCGGATACTGCTCATAAGGTTCTATTATCTTTCTCCATAAAATTTTATGAGAGTTTATAATCTAAACTTGTGTCACCCTTGGTTATCACATCTCTCTGCTTGGTGAGTGAGTCATGTTTGCTAATGAAGGTACTTTTAAGGGCTCTTTTGGTTTTCCTTTTATCGCAATTGATTTTATACTGGTGAAACTGTTGTATGGCATTATTTTCATATGTGGATATGTCCTTTCTGTTGTCTATATCCTGTTATTATTATCAGTAATAATTCTAGACAGTGCTGTCTATATTTGTTGCCTCCATTTACTCTACTGTGACTCACTTCTCACCATTAACAGGCTGGTCAATTGAAACTCTTGTCTCTAAAGTTACTAATGATTTCTTAATTGCCAAATCTGATGGCTTTTTCTCATTCTTCATTCTCCTTGACCTCTATGCAGCATTTGACATTGTCAACTTCCCCTTCCTCTGGGATATCCTCTGAGTTTTTGTGATAGTGCTCTCTCCTGGTTCTCCCCCTGCCCTTCTGACCACACCCTCTTGGTCTCCTTTGCTGAATCTTCTTCCATATCTTGGCACAAACCACTGGTGAGTCCCAAGGCTTTATGTTGGTTTCTCTTGTCTTTTCTCTCTGTATTTCCTGACTTGGTGATCTCATCAACTCTCATGGGTTCAATCATCATCTCTGTATCTTTTCTGTCTTAATTATATGCCTAGCAGTTGGAGTCTGAGGCAGCTAGGTGGTACGATGGCTAGAGTCCTAGACTTCGGAAGGAGTCAGGAAGACCTGATTTGAAATCTTGCTTCAGATGTTTACTAGCTTTGTACCAATTGGGCAAATCACAACCTCTGTTTGACTGTTTCCTCTATAAAATTTGTGAAATTACTCCCATCTCCCAGGATTTTTGTGAGAATCAAATGAGATAATATATGTAAGGGCATTATATAAATGGCACTATATAATTGCTTAAGGCACTACAGAAATATTAGCTGTTATTATGGCTTTCATGGTCAGTGAATAGAGTGTTGTCCTGGTTGAGATTTGTATAAGTGATAATAAAAAACACTGCATACTGATCCTGAAAAAAAAGTAGCAAAAAGTAGCAGAGCCAGAATCCTCAGGAAAACTTAAGGGGACTCTAGTTATACCCATTCTTGAAATACTCATTCTGCTTCATCCAGTGAGTTCCCAAATATACCTTTAAATTGAACTCAAATACCATCTCTTCCTTTATGTTTTTCTTGAATGTCCTTCCCTCTTAGACCTCATGGATACTCTTATTTTAAATTATCAGGTAATATTGTGCACTTTTCCAAAAGTAATCCAGGCTTCTCTCTTCTTCCTTTTCAATTCTGTGCCCAACTTATTATCCAACTGAAATATATGTCCAAAATTAGATGCACTGATGGACTAGTTGTAAAGGTTATTGATCCATTTGCCTATTGTAGTCTGGACAACAGGCATTCTTGCTTTTTTCCTGAGCACAGAGTCAGGCTGAACTTTTCTGAGGCATTATGAACTAAATTTAGGACTTCTGCAATAAATATTTCAGGGCTTTGATGTAAAACAGGAGCATCTGGAAGACTGCATTATTTATAGGGTACCACAACTGATTTGGACTTCTACACTAGACACTCTTCATGATGGTGGAAATACCTTTCACGAGCATGTGTCTCTTTCACATCTTGGTTCATATTAATAACCATGGCATCATTCAACATTATTTCTGTTGTATCTTTAGAGGAATATTTTATTATTTTAACATATGTATGAGAGACCTCTTGTTTGAAGGAAGCCTTTAAATCAGTATTCTGCTCTAAGGAATCAAATGCTTTTTCTATAGCCAACAAACACAATGGGATCTCTTCTTTCTTTTTAGTCAATTGCATACTTGTAAAGATGTGATATACTATACATTGATTTATGAAAGCTTGTTTATTCACTTTTCAAATTATTTTCACTTCATCAAATATTTTTCCTATTGTCTTTGTACCTACTGTGGATGGTATTTTGCTCTTAAAGATGCTTAATAAATGGTGAACACAGAAGCAGCAACTTTGCTTGTCTGTGTCCCATTTTGAACTTCTTTCACTCTTAGATTGGATCAAAAACGTACCTAAGTTGTGAGAAAAGGTGTAGGAAGGAGAGAATTATGACAAATTTCCCATATTTCACAATTTTATCCAGAGGTAGCCTTCACAAATACTATTAGCATGGTTATTTTAGCTCTCTAGTAAGGATCAGTCATTAAGTCTATACACACACACACACACACACACACACACACACGTATATATATATATATATATATATATATATATATCCTAAGGCAACTCAGAACCTATCTGTGCATCAGGTTTTTGCGCTATCAAATATTTTCACATACTTATTGTGAAACTCAAGTTTAATAGTGATTTCAGGCTCAGTAGAAAGTGATCTTTCTGATAAGACTTCTTGATATTCTTAACTCCTGTAATGCACTTTTCATACTCAAATTTGTATTTGTATCATTTGTTGTTCAATCGTTTCAGTTGTGTCCAATTCTTTGTGACCCCATTTTGGAGTTTTCTTGGCAAAGATGATGGAGTAATTTGTATCACCTCTTTTATCTTTGTATTACCCTCAATTCCCTAATATAGTGCTTATTACATAACACTTAACAAATATGTTTTGAATGAGTAAATTAAGAAAAAGCCTCTGAAATGCTTACCCCTTTTAAAGTGAAATGTAAATTCACAATGTTATCTTAGTATTATCATTAATAATCCAAACATTAATGTGATGTAATAGAAAGGGCATTTGGAGTAACTGAACCTGGTTGTAATTGAGCTCTGCCAATTATGTGACTTAAAGCAAGTTAATTCACCTCTTGGGGTCTTGTTTTCCTTATCTGCAAAATAGGTATAATTATGCTTGTACTGCTTTCCTCAAAGACTTAAGAGAAGAGCCTTTTACAAAAGTAAAGCTAGGGGCAGCTCTGTGGTGAAGTGGATGGAGCTCCGGCCTTGGAGTCAGGAGGACCTGAGTTCAAATCCGGCCTCAGGCACTTGAGGCTTACTAGGTGGGTGACTCTGGGCAAGTCACTTAACCCTGATTGCCTAAGGGGAAAAAAAAAAGTTAAAAAAAAGCTAGTCACACGTTATTGTCATTTAAAATATTATGATTGTGGAGAAGTTGTGTTACAGACTGGAAAAAAGACCTGGCCATTGAGTCAGAAGAACTAGATTCAAGACCTTTCTCTGCCACATAGTAGAAATGTGACCCTGGACAAGTCACTTAACCTGTGAGTGCCCTAGGAAGCTCTCTAAGAGCACTGATCTGCTTTGGTGGAGTTTCCTCAATTGGGATTTACCTACATGGATAAAATCACAGGGCTAGAATAAACAAAATCATGGTTTTCAGCTTAGTATAGGGATGTAGGGTCACTCTCTCTCACCCTACAGAACCAATCAGTTGTCAGATCTTGCTGTCTCTCACCATATGACCTCCTCTTACTTTTCATACAGTCATCACCTTCACTCAGGCCTCTTGGCTTCTGCTTGGACTACTGCAGCAGCCTCCTAATTTTATTCCTTGCCACAAATCTCTTCTCACGCCAATCTATCGCCCATATGGCTGAGAATGTCTTGTTATACTCATCTCCTTACTTAATAAGGGTATTGATTAAGTACCTACTAAGTGCCAGGTACTGTGCTAAGAGCTTGGAATACAAATAAGACAATCCCTGCTCTCCAGGAGCTTACATCTAATGGGGGGTGGACAACACACAAAAGGAAGCTGAAAAGGGAGGGGTTCCAGTGGCTGAGGGTAGGGGTAGGGGAATGGAGTAGATACCAAAGAGAACAGCTAGTAGTAAATGAAAACATAAACTCCTCTTTTCCTTTTAAAGCCCTTCACAACCTAGTCCAAACCCATTTTTGCAGCCTGACTCCCCCTTCTTGCACTCCACATCCAGGGTTTCTTGCTGTTCCTCATGCACCACATTCCCATCTCCGAGCCTCTGCACTGGAGGTACCCCCTGCTTGGAGTGCCCTTCCTTCCTCCCCTCTGCCTCAGGCAATCCCTTACTTCCTTCAAGCCTTTCCTGATTCCCTCCTTTCCCTCCTCCCCGCCACCCTACTACTTGGAATTTATACTTATACATGTAGGTTCCCTGGAAAGAATGTCAGCTGCTTGAGGGCAGGGGATTGTTCTGCGGCTGCTTCCTCATCGCGGGAGCCCTGCACACCGCGCCCAGGAGTATATAAATCTTCCCTGCGCGAGCTTTATTACTCGCCGTTCCCGCCAGGAGGCGCTGTGGGCGGAGCCGCGGGTCACCTCCTCCGGCCAGGCGCGTCGTCTCTCGTTGTCAGTAGCACCATTTCCTGGTTTGTGGCGACGCTTCCGCCCGGCTGCGAAGACACTTCCGCCCTGCTGCGATTACGCTTCCGCCCGGCTGCGTAGAGCTGGGCGAGCGTGTTGGGGTTTAGGTCTCTACCTGTCTTGGGAGCCGGCATGGAGACCTCGACGGGCGGTGATGGTGGGTTCGGTCTCCAGGCGGGGGTAGGGGCGGCCCGGGACAGGCAGAGCGGCCCTAACGAAGCTCCCCTTCTCTCTTCCTTCCTGCCTCACAGGCACCGACGCGCCGGCGGCCGATCCGGAGCTGGCTTCCACCATGGGCTTCACCGGATTTGGTGAGTTCGGGGGCGCCGGGCGGGGGCGGGGGCGGCGCGGCAGGAGCCCCGGGAGAGCCCGCGGAGGGAGAGCGGCCTGTGGGGCTCCATGGCCCGTGACCCCCAGGGTAGCCCCGACTCCTCCCCTTGGAGTGGAGGTCACCCACCCACGGCCGCAGCGCAGCCCCCAGGCCCACGCACCCTCTGACAGCTCGGCGCTGCTGCCCCTTCTGGGCCCGGCCTTTGGCTGGGGGAGGGGGAGGTGGGGGGAGGATGGGCAGGAAAAAAGAGGATGGGGAGGGGGGGAGGGAGGAAAGAGAGGGAGAGAAGGAGGGAGAAGGGAGGAAGAAGAGGAGGGGGAGAAGGAGAAGAGAGAGGAAGGAACAGATGGAGGAGGGAAAAGCAGGGGGTGGAGGTGGGGAACGGGGTACAGGGAGCACCGCAGAAAGGTCAGGCAGATTAAGTTTCTTTGCATTCAAGGAGTCAAGTCTTAGGTCAGAAGAGGTTCTTCAGACTCTGGTACTAAGTGGAGATATAGTTGGTCCCTGTGGGTAGAAAACTGTGTTGCAGGTGCCAGGGGGTAAATAGCAACTCTGTGAATTATAGACACATGGTGAAGGAATCTCTGTGAGGAAAACTGCAACAAAAACTAAACTTGATGATTTGCTGCAGTGACCTCATCCCTTACTAGTCATAAAGGGAAATGCATATTTCCAATGATTGTATGTTTGACATCAATCAACAAACGTTTATTTATTTTTTATTTCCACAAAATTTATTATTTATTTGTAGCATTCATGTAAAATAATTTTGAATTCTAAATTAATCTCTCTCCATTGGCCCTCCACTGTCCATTGAGAAGGCAAACAATATCAATTATACATGTGAAGTCAAGCAAAACATTTTTGAGTTAGCCAACAACAAACATTTATTAAGTGCCTGCTGTGCTAAGCACTTTGCTGAGGATTTATACATGTACACATACATATATACACATATACTTATATATACATATGTCTATGTATGTATATATATGTATATGTATATTCCTAAGAATCTGAAGAGCTTAAGATTGCATCCATCCACCCCTTTTTTTCATGGCAACAGACATGGATTCCACATCCAAACATCCATGTATGTATGTATGCATGTATATGTGTATATATATGTATGTATGTGTGTGTACATACACACACACACACACGCACACACACACATATATATATATGCATGTATGTATGCCGTTGTTCCTAAAGGTGACTAAGAGAAAAGATGAAAAAGCAAAGCTGTTTTATGACTGGTCAGGTAAAAGGTTGCACTGGATAATTTCTATAGTTCCCTTTATCTCTAAAATGCTATGTTTGGACAACTCATAGGAAATTCTGCAACATTAGTGCATCAATATTGACTTCTTCAATACAACAGCACTATCATTTGTACTAATCCTGTGATTTCATTGGTATGAGGAACTCTCAGTAAGGAAACTCCTTCCACTAAAGCAAATTAACACCTGCTCTGGAAACTCACAGACATTGAGAAGTTAAATGATCAGAGTCACACGGCCAGTGTATGTCAAGGTGGAACTGGCACCTGTGTCTTCCTGACTGTTTCTTGTTGCCTCTCTTACTTACTTTTGGTCCTTTTGCTACTACCATCACCACTACCACCACCACTACCACCTGTATTTTCTGAGTACTGCCAAGTTGTACAAGGGGAAATAATATTTTCCAGCACACTTGTAGCATGCAAAACAGAAATGGATATCCCTAATAGGAGCTATTTTGCCAAAAGATTGTTTTCCTTTCTAATTCCCTATCTTCCCCTGTTTTTGTTTACTTGTGTAGGGTCTAAAGCCTCTGAAAATGTATGAACATAACATTGATAACTAACAGAGCACCTTAAAGTATGTTGGAGTATTTGATGTGCGTTTTTCTCATTTGAGCAGTATACCAACCCTCTGAAGTAGATAATTTGCTGTTATCCTCATTTTGTATGTGCTTAAACTGTTTTTTGGCTTGGTCCACTCTTTGAGAAGTGGTACTCAGAGGAGTGGTTCTTAAGTTCTTTAATTCTGGGTCATAATTGCTGCTTTCCCTCTTTTCCCTCTCAAAACAAAGACAGACACAGAGTTACCTCCCCCACCTCTCTTCCACAGTAGGACCATGATTTCTAGGTTAAAGAAGTGATAATTGGAGGCTTGAGGGGCATCTATTGTGCATTGAACACTCTGTTGTTATGTGTTGTGGTCATCCTGTACTATGCTGTAAATTAGATTAATCAAAAATTTTATTCACTGTACAGTATCAACTGTCTGTCATCCATCCCTCTACATTTTAGGAAAGAAAGCCAGGACATTTGACTTGGAAGCCATGTTTGAGCAAACCCGAAGAACAGCAGTGGAAAGAAGTAGAAAAGTTTTGGGTAAGTTTAGATACCTGTATTTACATTTGTTCAAGTTAAATGCTATAGGTTGCATAATAGCACAAAGTTATAATTAAATACTTTAAAAATGTTTTCTAGTTTTAAAAATGTATGTTAAACCTTTTTTCTTGAACAAGTGTTTGTGGTTTTTAAACTTCTATAACATTTCAATTAAAGTATTCTCATGGATGTGAATACTCCTACCTCCAGTACAAAGGACAAACCAGCTGTAATGTCTTATCTTGAGTGATTCTCATCTATAACTTGCCTTAAGTCCTTCATAGAGGACCTATCATGCATACTAGAGATGTTATTATTCTAGATTATTATTCTAGTTCTTCTAATATTTCTTGGTAATTGTTTTAAGCCTTGCATGCTGTCTCTCACTCTCTGTTTAGAGTACAAGCTCTTTTTAAACCATTAAGGTTGACAGAAGATTATTGGAACTCTCATCTCCCCAAACAGTAAAAAAAAAGACAGTGGAAGCAATGTGAACTCACAAAAAGTTTGGCTTGTGACAGACCGTTCCACAGTAATTTTTTGAATATGATAAAAATTGCAACTGAACAGAAGATGGAGATCTGACCAAATTTTACATTATTGAATGCTTACAACTTGCTGGAATTTTAAAGTGTGCTTTTATAGATTCTCTAGGACTTTTAACTTCATTGATGAATAATTGATCAACTCCAGTGGGAGATATAAATTGATCAGAGTTAAAGGATATCAGTTTCAGTCTCCCCAAAGCTTCAATTCTTTATACACCCACCAACAATATGATGAAAATATTTGTTTATCTGAAGCCCTGGAAACAGTGAATTTTATTGTGTTATTCTTTGTTTGCCATTTGCATACATTCTGGTACCTTACCCTTTTAATTTGCGTTCTCTATTTAATAGAAAGTGACTATTTTAATTGTTTAGACACAGTTTATCTTTCCTCTTCCTAAAATTGTCATTTGGCTATTTCTTAATTTGAGAATGGATATATAGTAGGTTTTTATTAGCTATAGTTCCATTGGTAGTTAGATATTTTTTTAGATATAGTTCCATTAGAGTAGTTCCTTGGTATTTGGATTAGCAGTTACATCTTGCTTGAGATCTCATGAGCTGCCATGGGTTTAGTTGTCATTTTGTAGATGATCAATATATCCAGCTCTAACCTTTCTGCTGAATTCTAGTCCCACATCACCAAATAGCCTCTTGGACATCTTGAATTGAAAATACTGTAAGCATCTTAAACTCAACATGTTCAAAATAGAACACATTATCTTTCCTCTGCCCTCCAACCCTCCTTCCTTTTCAGTTTTTTTATTACAATTGAGAACTGGAAACTAAGAGGGTATTCATTATTTGGGGAATGACTGAACAAATTATGGTCTGTGAATCTGATGGAATATTGTTGTGCTGCAAAAATGAAGAAAGAGATGATTTCAGAGAAACTTGGATCGACTTTGTGGACTGATATAGAATGAAATGAGCAAAACCAGGAGAACAGTTTATAATGTGACACCAACACTTATACATTGTCACATAGCTGTGTTGGTTTGACTCTGGGCAAGTCATTTAAAGGTTACTCTTCATGCCCATGGCAACTAAGACTATAGATGACATGCTTCTAACCAGAGAAAAAGATAGTATCCTGGGGTAGCACCATTGAGCACCCCACCATCCTGTAAGTCATCCAGGCTCACAAACCTTGGTGTCATCTTTGACTTCTGTCTTTTACATATTAAATACTTCATATTCAATCTGTTGTCAAGTGTTGTCATTTTCTTTTTGGGGTTCCTGTCAGGGGATGCTTGATGAATTCTTTCTATTTTACTTTCTTGTTCTCTGATTCTAATTGATGTGTGCAGTTTTAATTTATGAATTCTTAAAATATAGTATCTAAATGATTCATAAATTATCTCTCCTTGATTTGTTTTCCTGTATGTTTTTGATGCTAGATATTTTAAATTTCCTTTTTTTCAATCTTTGATTTTATTTAAATTTTTTTTTGTTATCATGAAGTCATCGATTTCTGTTTGCATTGGCTGTGTGAAAAAGAAAAAAAATATAAATACCTCTATATCTTGTTCTCTACTATGAGTCTTTTACTTCTATCAGGAGGTAAGTAGCTTGTTTTAGCATGAGTCCTCTGGAATCCCGGTTGGTCATTACACTCATCAGAGTTCCTAAGTTTTTCAAAGTTATTTGTCTTTACAATGTTGTTGTCATTATATTAATTATTCAGATTTTGTTCCGTTCACTCTATATCAGTTCATACAAATCTTCCCAAGTTTTTCTGAAACCATTCTCTTAATCATATCTTATAGCACAATAAAATCTCATATTTATATGCCATAATTTGTTCATCCCTTCCCCAGTTTACTTCCTTAGTTTCCAGTTCTTTGCCATCACAAAAAGAGGCAAATATTTTTGTATATCCTTTTTTAGAGTTTGTTTTGCTTAGGACTAATTGCTTCCTTTATCTAACCTCCTAATTTTCCTTCTGCCTTTTCCGCCCATTTCCCTTTTAAATGACACATAATTCTATATCCAACTCTGTGTGTGTGTGTATGTGTGTATGTGTATGTGTATGTATTCTTCCATTCTTTGACCAGTTCAGATGAGAGTGAAGTTCAAGTGTCAGCTGCCCCCTACCCTTTCCTCCTTGTTTGTATAGGCTTCTGCTTCAGTACCCGATTGTGTGAGATAATTTATCCTGAATTTTTTCTCTCTTCTCTTTCTCCCCCCATCCTCAATATATTCCTCTTCCCCTCCTTTACCATTCTTCTTTTATGATTGTCAGGGTATAACAACCTTGGCCATACCTTCTGTCTAAATAGGATTCAGAGGGTCCATATGTTTCCTCTCCCTGTAGGAGAATATAAGCAGTTTATTTTTGTTTAGTCCTTCATTATTATTAATTTCTGTTTACCTTTTTAGATTTCTCTTAACTCTCTTTTCACTTCAGAGTTTTTACATAGCTCTTGCTTTTCATCATGAATGCTTCAAATCCTTTATTTCATTAAAGTTCATTTTTCTCCTGTAGGATTATTCTTGGTTTTGTTAGGGATGTCTTTCTTTGCTGTTAAGTCATAGCTGTGCTAGAGTCAGCTCATATCTTCTCATGAAAACCAACTGTGAAGTTTTCAGTGTAAGCACTTACACCTCTGAAATTGGCAAATGCTACAAATGAGTACTTGATTTATTGTTTTCTTGATTGTTTAGACTTAAGAAGGTGATGAGGAAGATGTTACTAATGTAGATTAAACTTAAAAATATGTCATATATACATTTTTTCCCCTAGAGAGCTGATTATTAAACATTTACCAGCACACTATGCTGTAAACCTTTATCTTTTCCTTCTAGAATATTGTAGACCAAGGTCTCTGTTACTCTGTGGTGGTGACTGCTAAATCGTGCACGAGTCTGACTGGCTCCTCAGCACTTGAATTTTTTCTTTTTGCCTGCTCCTAGTATTTTTCCTTTGATCTGGAAGATCTGGATTTTGGCTGTAATGTCTTTGAGTTTTGATTTTGGGGTTTCTGTCAGAAGGTGACCACTGAATTCTTTCTGTATCTATTTGCCCTCTGGATCTGAGAGATCTGGGCAGTTCTCTTTTAAGATTTCTTGAAATAATATGTCAAGGCAGTTTTTTTTTTTAACATGGCTTTCAAGTGGTCCAATGATCCTTAAATTTTTTTCGCTCAATCTGTTTTCCAGGTCAGTTGTTTTTACTATGGTTTTTTTCACTTTCATCCACTTTTGACAGTCTTTTGACTTTGTTTTTCATGTTCTTGTCTTATGGAGTCATTAGCTTCTATTTTTTCCATTCTGGTTTTCAGGGAGCTTTTTGTTTGGGCAAGGTTTTATACCTGTTGTGCCAAGCTGTTAATTCCCTTTTCAGTTCTTCCATAGCCCTCATTTCTTTTAAATTTTTTTCCTCAAGAGATCTCATTTCATTTATAATTTTTTTAAACTTTTTTTTTTTTTTAGGCAATTGGGGTTAAGTGACTTGCCCAGGGTCACACAGTTAGTAAGTGTCAAGTGTTTGGTCTGAGGTCAGATTTGAACTCAGGTCCTCCTGACTTCAGGGCTGGTGGTATATCCACTGCGCCACCTAGCTGCCTCCTAAACTCTTTAAGGGAAAAAAAAAAACCTTGCTTCATCTTTTCCAGGAATTTTTACTTGATTTTTTTGTCAAGCTGTTTTTTTTTCCTTGAAGCTTTCCTTATAAATGTTTTGTAATAATTTTCTCCTTTTGGGTTTGTGTCTTGAGCATCTCTGTCACCATGATAGAGTCTTCTTTTATTTGCTCATTCTTCAAATCCTTTGTCCTACTTTATTGCTTCAGGCTTTGTTAAGACTTGGCTCTGTGGCACTTGTGAAGGGAAGGTCTGGACTGGTCCTGTTGCTGCTTTCATGGGGTATTGAGTATTGTGATACTCCACTCTCTCAGGGACAGCTTAGGCTTGGAAACCTGCATGTTTTCAGTGATCACAAAGTGGTGTGATCCAGGACAAAGTCTGATTTTCCCCTCGACCTCTGTCTAAGATTTGCAAGGTCTGGATCTGGGTTTCATTCTGAGCAATAGTAGATGGCTCCTGTGCCAACCACTTTCAACCAATTGGAAAGCTCTGTTGATTTAGAATGACAGAACTGTAGGCTGCTCTTTAGTCTTCAGTTCCTGCCCTGGTTATTCTTTGCAGGCTTCAGTTTGGGCTTGAAGTTGGAGCTAAGTCCCTGCTCTGATCCTGAATCTGAGCCAGACCACTGCTTCTTGCTCTGAACTTTCTTCTTGCTCTGTACACTGGCTATGGTTGGCAACTGCTCCTCATGTCAGAATGCGGTACAGATCCCTTTCTCATCCACTCTGGATTTATGACCTAGAATTGACTAGTGAGTGACAAAGCTGCCCATTGACACCTGTTCCAAATCCTTGCAGGATGTCTTGGGGCCCTGTTGGTCTCTAGTGTCTCTTACCTTGATGCACAACTTTACCCTGCTCTGTCC